ATCAGATGTGGATGGTTGTGCGCAACCTCCAGCCCAAGCTCATGCAGAAGATGATCGTCCTCCCCCTACCCACCTTTGCAGATCTACATGAGATTGGGGTGCAAATAGAGGATGCCATGAAACAAGGCCTCATTGATAATGAGAGAGAGTAGCCCAAGAGGGCATTCAACCGCGGTACAAATGCAGGCACAAGTAGTGCTACAGCTGGCAGAACTTCAGATGTCGGAATGATCACCACCACTCTTCCCAAAACCCTCACAGCTACCCCATTCACTGGTGCGTCCGGTAGTAGCTCACAACCAGCTAGATATGTGCCCAGAGGCAAAAGAACCTTCACCCCACTATACATGCCCCTGTCCAAAGCTTTGGGGGTTTTGATCAAGAAAGGGCACTTGAAACCCCTAGAGTCGTGGCCATTGCCAAATACACTTCCTCCTTTCCATAACCCGGCAAAGTATTGTGCCTATCCCCAATAGCATGGTCACGACACCGACCAGTGCTTTAGACTGCGTCACGATATCCAAGATCTCGTTGACAATAAGGTGATCGCACCCCCGGAAAAACCAAACATCACAACCAACCCACTCCCACTACATAACCAAGCTCCACCTCCCAAACGCATTAACCTAATCTAAACTAGGGTTATGTCATACGACCCCAGCATATATATCACCCATTCTCACCTAACCAAGCCGGAGCTGTTCATTCCAGAAAGCACGGATTTGTGCATGTTGGACATCTCCCAAACCCAACTTGAGCCGGTGGTGGTGACTATCGAAGATAGAACCGAGATGATTACAGGAACAGACAAAAATGATTATTCAGGGCCTGAGGGGTCTGTGAGATATGTGTACGACCCGAGCGGTTACATTACACCAACAGGGCAGACTATGTCAAGGGTGGAACTACCGGTTGGGGCAGAGATCTATGTCATTCGAGAGGATGGACCTAATCAAGGGCTAGATGACCTAGCGAAATTGGAAGAGGACATAGCCAACCTTCAATTCTTTAACAAACAGGATACAGGGGACGTGACTATCAACTGGTTTGATTTAGATGGGTCAGCAGAAGCTACCGGGTGGCTCAGTGACGAGCCGGATGCTACTGAACAACTTCAGCCAGACCAGGGGCAATCAGGGGTTGGAATATCATTAGCAATGGCTGGAATGGCCGGGAATCAGGAGCAATCGCCGGAGAGCACCGGTGTTAAGAATTTTGCTCGGGATCAGAACAGTTTGAGTACAGAGGATGTTGAATAGCAGGCTGCACTAAAACAGTTTGAGCAAGAGAAGATCGAAGATTTGGAGAGAGTTAGAAAGGCCAAAGCCCCTATGGGACTAAATGTGCTGTAAGTACGGGAATAGAATGTGTTGTGCGCATAGGAACAGCTGTAATAGAACCAGATAGTTGCTTGTCAATGGCTGATGGCATGTGGTAGGAAGATGATGACCTATGTCTTGCCCACACAGACGAGGATTGAGGGAACAAGCAACCGGATGATACCTGGTATATTGGAGAAATTGATCACATGACTAGAAGTGGATGGTATTTCAAGCCTCCATACCTAGATCAACCAGAGGCGTCCGGAAGGGACACGGAGGCGGAGAAGTAGAAAGAAAAGTCACTCGAAGAGGAGGCTGTGCTGAAACAGCTTAAGAAGATACAAGCAGACATCTCCATCTAGGGACTGCATATGGCTTCAAGAGTACACAGACAAGCTGTCCTTTCTGCAATGGACAGAGCCAAACTTTCAATTGACACCACGCCTGAACAGCTGGTAGGGTTAGTTTTTCCAGAAGGAACTTCCCCGACGTTAACCTTTACTGATAAGGAACTACCGCCCGAGGGCGCAAACCATAACAAATCACTCTACATCTCTGTGGAATGTAAAGACAAGTGGACACCGGTGGTTCTTGTCGACACAGGATCTGCCATTAATGTGTGCCCGTCGAGGACAACATATGCAATCGGGTTGAAGCCCGGGGACTTCGTACCTATTGCCCAGGTGATTCAGGCATATGACAATACTAGCAGAGAAGTGATGGGGACTGTGCAGATTCAGACTAAGGTTGGTCCAGGACAGCATGATATTGACTTTCATGTCTTGGACGTTCCTGCAACCTTCAATCTACTCTTAGGGCGTCCGTGGCTGCACTAGGTAAAGGCAATCTCTTCCACCCTCCACCAGGTGTTGAAATACCCCCACAGGAAGGGGGTGGCCATAGTTTTTGGGAATTCATCAATCCATCCGCCGCCAGAGGTGTCTACGCCGGTTCTGGAGATCGAACATGACGCAGAGGATGTGTTCTTGTCAAGATTTAGCCTAGCTGAGGCTCGGGTTGTATAGAACCTACTAGCAATCGATGAGGGGCTTTATGTCAGTGCACAATTGGTGTACCTCATGAATAAACTCTAGCACATCCCTGGGATGGGATTAGGGAAAAGTGGCCGGAAAGGCGTTGTAGCATCGGCCGAAGTGCCGCATAACCCATATACCTTTGGTCTAGGTTATCTGCCTACCAAGGAGGACTGGGTAAGGAAAGACAAAGAAACGGCCGAAAGGTCCAGAGCTAAGTAGGTGGGGAAGCATTTTGAGTTGATGCACTGACCTATTCAGGGTACCCTGAACGGACGCTTTGTCCGGGAGGGGGAGGACTTCCCGTTCTGCAGCTTCCCAGAACCATGGTTGAATGCAGAGAGGAGACACTTGCCAGGGTTTGAGATCTTCTTTGACTTGCACTTGTCTGGGGATGATGTTGCTGAGGAGTAGACAGACCCACCAGCTGAGGTTGAGCGATGTAAAGAGGAGGTTTCCGAGGGCGCAGAGATTGAAATGGGGGTAGCACTGGCTTGTCCACTTTCAGATCCTCCGATCGTACATGAGTGCTTGGGGGATAACTTCTTGGTGTCCATGATCGGGAATGAAATGACTGCGAACCCACCTTCAAATATTTTGGATGCATCCATTGCACCCTCCCTCGTCTGGCAATACGAGGAAGGCTTCTTATCGAGTAGCACCGGGTTAGGTAGTGAGCCAGAATCTAATTCCACTGAGTCTTGTGAGTCGGAATCAGGTTCCAGCTCGTCTGAGTCTAAGTCTGGTATTCCTGGGAGTGATAATCCGAATGCTATAGTCCTGTCTAGGTCGTCCTTTTCTTTTTCCTTTGAGTCTGTTGTAACAGAGGAAGCAGGCGACTTGGAAGTACTTAATGAGAATGATGCGGCTGTGGCCTTCGATTACTTTTCTGTGCCCTTAATTTATTGCATGAACCAGGATTTTCAACATTTTGATGAAAACAACGAGGAAGAAATTCCTCCGATTTTGCAATATTTGCTTGATCAAGAGCAGGAGAGATTTGTTAAACCCTTGGTTGATGAAATCACCCAAATTAACGTTGGTATTGAGAAGGACCCACGGCTGGTCCAGATTGGGTTCACGTTGTCTTCGGAGGAGTGCGAGCGCTTAGTCGCTTTATTAAAAGATTTCAAAGATGTTTTGCCTAGAATCGATCCTGAGATTGTACAACACCGGATCCCTCTTGACCCAGAGGCCCGACCTGTCAAACAAAAACTCAGAAGGATCCGCCCAGACTGGGCTCTCAAGATCAAAGAAGAGGTCACCAAGCAAATTGATGCAGGGTTCCTGCTGGTATCTGAATACGCAACTTGGGTGGTCAACATCA